GTTCCCGCGCTTACCCAGAAGGAGGAAAAGGGCCACACAAAGCCATCTTTTGTTCATCTTATATACCAAAGGTGCCTCTCACAGGTTTCTCAGTTTTGCTTTCCTTAGGTTGTCTTGTTTCTTTGGGGCTTTTGTTTTTAAGATGGGACTCATAAAAATGGGCACAATTATACAGAGGAGGAAATGGAGACCTGAAAAGGCCTGCGGGCCTTTTCCTTTCTTTTCCTCTTCTTTCCTTTTCTTTTTTGGTTTTTCGAGACAGAGTTTCTCTGTGGAACTAGCTCTGTAGACCAGGCTGGCCTCAAACTCACAGAGATCCGCCTGCCTCTGCCTCCCAAGTGCTGGGATTAAAGGCATGCACCACTGCCTGGCCTATTGACCTTTTTCTTAAGTAATCTTTCTGACAGGCTCTAGAAATGACAAGCAGCCCCCTGGGAGGCCCAGCCCACTCTCCCCGGGGATCCTTCGACTTCCACAGCTTTTATGTTGCCAGAGGTGGAAGAATGTTCACAGGGGTTGAACCGGCTTCTCCCTAGAAGCACACAGAGTTACACCCTGTTGGCAGCCTTGCCAAGAAGGGTTGGAGATATGGAGCAGCCAGGGACTCCTCAATACCGTACTGTTGGTCGCGCAGACCACAAACCAAGTGTGGCCTCGAGGAATGCAGGCTCAGGAGCTGTTGACCACAGGCGCACACTGGACTCCAGAAAAAAGGTTCTGTAGTCATCTCTGGCCTTCTTGGGGAAGAGTAGGAGTAGGAAATAGAAGAGATTTGCAGAGCCCCAGACTTCATCCCTTCGTCTTTGTTGTGGCATCTGTCCCCTGTCTGCTTCCTGTGTATGATGGGTTGCGCACATGCTCACTCTCAGAGTTCTCAAGATGTCCTCCATTTCTTCCTTCTTTCCCTCTTCTTGTATTGAGATGGGCTGGGGGCGTGTCTCACTATGTAGGTCTGCAACTCATCACTGAAAAGAACACACCGGCTTTAAATGTGAAGCAGTCCTTATACTTCAGCCTCCCAAGTGCTGGGATTACAGGCCAGAGTCACCATACCTAGCTCGGCTTCCGGTGAACCAAGTTTCCTTTTTCTCCCCCGTGTTGAAGAATAGGGAGTGATTAGTTTTTATCCTTACGAAGCTAAGTTCCTTCCTTTCTCTTCTCTTAAAAATAAGGAAGTGACCTTGTTCCTTGTTGAGCATGCAAACTGCCACATGGGGTGATACCTGGGGGCGTGGTGTGTGTGAGTGTGAGTGTGCATGTGTGTGTGCACATGTGTGTTTCTTTTCTCTGTATTGGCCAGGTGATCAATCTTTTGAAGGGAAGAGGTGATCAGAACGGCTGATGAAGAACACCAAGAGAAAGTTAGTATTTAGTTTTTGGCATCAAAGACAATGTTTAAAAGTAAGATGCCAGCTTGAACCCTAGATTTGAAACAGGAGGTAAGATTTTATGAATCTCTTTAGCTCCTCCTTGGTTCAGATCATAGACCAGCTCCCATAGGTAGAGAGGATAATTGTGTTTATGGTTTAGGTGGGGAGCATAGCGTCAGGAATAAGGAAGCTACAAATCCCAGGAAGTAACTAGGTCTGCTGCCTCTTCTGGAGACTGTGTGGGATTGGGGTGAGGAGGGGAAGGCTGTACAGGGGGGAGGGAGGCTGAGTTAGCAAGTGAGGTGAAAGCCCTGATGTCCCTTTGCAAACATGTCCCCACAAAGCCAGGATTCTTCCCCCACTCCCCGTGTGGGACTCTGGGGGAGAACCTTGGTAGTGGACTGTGGTCTGGAACAGGAGGCAAAGGAGGAGAGAGAAGTCCAACCTGCAACAGGCAAATCCCATGTCAGGCAAAGGCCTACTCTATTGCCCCATTTGAGGGCCAACCAGCCGGCCCTGGTGCCCACGGCACTGGATGGCAGAAGAATGGAGGAGCCCAGCTAGGTTCATAGCTCCAGGAAGAGCTGAGAGTGAGGAACCAGGGTTTAATCCTAAAAAAAGGGGGAGTGGGGACCAGTCCAGGAGTGCACTGGGAGCAAACTAAAGTAGTTGGCAACCATTCCAAACTGTGGGGGCAAGTGCTCATCTGAGGATCCGCATGTGAGCTCAGACACCTTCACCTTCTTATGTGGCATAGATGGGGCGTGCAGTATCAACAACCCTGAGAAGAACAAGTGGACCAATAAAGCTGCTGTATAGGGCTAGGGTGCTGAGCGCTGAATTACATTTCTCCCTGAGCATGTCAGTTGTGTAGAGAGAATATTTAAACCTGACGTCCTATGTTTCTTTTTTCAAATGTTTCTGTTTATTGGTAGGGGTGGGGTCATGACACATCACACATGCAGAGGTCAGAGGGCAACCTGCAGGATTCAGATCTCTCCTATCATGTGGGTGCCAGGGATCAAACTCTGATCACCAGCCATGTTGCAAGGTGCCTTTGCCTGCTGAGTCATTAGCTGGCCCCGCCACCCCACATTTCAATGAAAGAAATCAGCCCTTTTTTTCTATTTTGTCTTTTCTCTCTGTGTGTATGCATGTGCATGCGTCCATGTGTGAATGCGTCCGTGTGTGCATGTGCCCGTGTGTGCAGGTGCACGTGTGTGCATGTGCCCGTGTGTGCATGTGCCCGTGTGTGCAGGTGCCCGTGTGTGCAGGTGCACGTGGAGGCCATCGGGCATCCTTGAGTGTTGTTCTTCAGGAACTGTCTGCCCTGGTTCTCTTGTTGTTCACAGTGGCGATTGTGGTTTTGAGAAGGGGTCTCACATGCAGGCCTACCTGCTCTGGAACTTGCTATGTAGACCAGGCTGGCCTCAATGAACAGAGTTCTACCTGCCTCTGCCTCCAGAGTGCTGGGATTCCATCTACTCTGTTTTTTAAGAAAGAGTCTCTTAGTGACTTGGTGCTGGGCAATTAGGTGTAGGCTGCTGGCCGGCATACCTCAGGGATCCATATGCCTCCACCTCCCAATACTTAGGATTACAGGCAATCGCTGTCTCTTCTGTTTCATTCGGGTTCTGGGGGTCGAACCGGGGTCCTCACGCTTGTCCAGGAGGTATTTTTTTTAACCAACTGAACTATCTCCCAAGACCCAACCACCCTTTCCTACCTTCAGCCTGTGATTTCTATTCTTTTTTTGTTTTTGTTTTTGTTTTTGTGTTTTGTTTTTCAAGACGGGGTTTCTCTGTAGCTTTGGAGCCTGTCCTGGAGCTAGCTCTTGTAGACCAGGCTGGTCTCGAACTCACAGAGATCCGCCTGCCTCTGCCTCCAGAGTGCTGGGATTAAAGGCGTGCACCGCCACCGCTTGGCTATTTCCATTCTTTTATTTTTCTTCTTTTTATATTCTTGGTTCTAACTGCCAGCCTAGGTAGCTCCTGAGGTTCTATGCCTCTTTGGAACTTTAGAGTTTCTCTTCTTTCTCCTCTACCAGCAACAACAAACACAGAAAGGCGGGAAAGCTCAATGCCATTGCGCTGAAGGTGAGGAGTGGAATTTCTTGCACACATGAATAAAGAAATGTAATCTTGAACACTTATTACAGGACAAGCTATATGGAGAAAATGCCGGGAAGTTGGTCATTTAGTAGAGACATTCCAGCAGGGAAGGGGACCCAAACCCCAGGAATTGCCATCTGAAAGCCTGGGGTCTTCGGCTCTTCTTGATGAGCAATGAGTTCTTCTAGGTGCAAAGCAGTTTTTTGATTGACATAAAAAAAATTACTATGGGAAATTGGGGTGTACCCAAATAAATCAAGCAATCAAGCTCCAAAAAAGTCACACATCATGGAAAATGAGCCCTACATATAATCCTAACTTTTCCATTAAAAATATGTTTTGCATGCCTTAAATCCCAGTACTCAGGAGGCAGAGACAGGTGGATCTCTATGAGTTCGAGGCCAGCCTGGTCTACAACAGCTACCAGGACAACCAGGGCTGTTACACTGAGAAACCCTATCTTGAAAAACAAAACAAACAAACATACAAAAAACACCCCAAACTATGATTTGTAGGGATGCATTGATGCATGTATGGAGCACACATGTCAGCTCATGCCTTTAATCCCAGCGCTAGGAGGTAGAGGCAGGTGGATCTGTGTGTGCTCAAGGCCAGCCTGGTCGACCGAGTGAGTTCTAGTTCCGGGACAGCCAGGTCTACATGGTAAGACCCTGTCTTGAAAACAGAAAAAAAGAAAAGAAAGGAGAAGTTCTGGCAATTGGTGTTTCCTAGCTGCCCCAAGGACCCAGGGCAGAGAGAGTCTCCTCAGACTTTTGACGAAAGTCTAGCATACTGTAAGCATAGTATTCAGTCCGTGTGTTGTTACTGAGTTAGGGACATTGGGACAACATGGAGAATTATTCCCACCAGCTTTCAATCTTCCCCCTTATCTCCTCCAGCCAGGATACCTAAGTGCCATCTTTAACTGCCCATCTCAGTCTCTTGCTTAAGAACAACCGTTTACAGGGCCTCAGAGGCCTTTGTCTCATGCAGCCAGACTTCAGAAAAAAAAAATCTTCTGAAAGTGGGGATCTGCCTCATCTCCCCCGTGCTGTCTGCTTGGGGCTCAGATCCCAGGAACTGCTGCTGGGACCTTCTGTAAACCCTCACCTTAATTCCCCCCTACCCCTCTCAGCAGTGCTTACCACACCCAGGCTTGCTGCCCAGTACCCAACCTTCCTCTAATCCTGTGCCCCTTGTCCCACAGCTTTGGAACTGAGTTCAAGGGGAGGGAGTGAAATGAGCCGACTCAACTGTCAAAGGTCTTTGCTATCTGAGCATTGCAAAAGCAAATGGCCTAATCTCTATGTAGATAGGCAAGGCCAGAGGGAGGCAGAGAATCTTGTTCGCCAGAGAAAAACAGAATGGGAGAACCAGATACCTCCAAAGATCATCTGACCCAAGATACACAGAGGAGGAAGCAAAGACCCAGAGACACGAAACAGCTTGTCCAAGGTCACAAAGACCCGTGTAATACCTGCGCTTAGTTACTCAACTATTAAATAATTAAGCTACCCTGCTACCTGGTGTTAGGCAATGCTTTTCCTGTATGATTCTCCTCACAACAATCTTGCAGGATAGGTACCATAATCTTTGATTCACAGACAAGAAATAGAAGCCGGGTGAGTTGTCCAGGTACCCCCTAGGTAAGCAGGAAGCCGAGTTTCCAACACACTCTAAGCTACCCCTCCTGTCACTATGAGCCTGCACCACCAGAGCTGTGAGCACACTGCACCGGCTGTGTCTCAAACATGATTGGCGGCGGGTAATTGGTGTTGCATAAGTGACCAGTACCCTGGGGGTAGGGGGTGGAGATGGGAGAACGACACCTGGGCTCCCCAGGGCAAGAGGATTATGTTGCTAGACTCATCTTTCCACAGACCTCTCCAAGGGGGCTGGGAAATGTTGACAGACCAGTTGAGGTTGGATCGGGTGCCAGGCACACCGGTGCGTTTACTTCCTGCTTCACCATATCGCTGGCATTTTGCGATGGAGGACACGGAAGACTCAAGAGGATGTGAGCTTTTTCACAAAATGGTGTGAGCTCTGAGGAGTGGGGTACAGGGGTCGCTTTTCTCGGCCCCTTCCCTCTCCCCGATGTCCGCCGTTTCCTTTCTTCTCCTCCCGGTGTCCGTCGACCTGGTCCTTCACCGCAGAGCCCTTGCCAGGCCCTCCTTCCCTCTGTCCCATTAAATGTTCTTTTCAGCAGACAGCGCCCTGCCCCAGAGGCTGCCTGAGAAGGTGATTCATGTGTGGCCCTCGCAGGATGAAACCTTTACTCCCTTTAGGTAACACGGTTGACATTTAAAGGTCAAACCGTCAAGTTTCCAAGCGAGGAAGGGGGTTACACTAAACCAGGCTCGTGTCCCTGTTTCTAGGGTTGTAGGGAGTCTCTGCTCCTCTTTGCACGGCCCCCGAGGAGTGAGGGAGGCTTCCAGAGTTCTGCCCATGCAAAGTATATAAGCGAAACTTATTTGCATCTAGTCCTCAAACAAATGCCATACCTGCCGAACATTGGATAACTCCCAATCACCTCTCCTGCCCCAACACGGAAAGACTGAAGTCATGATTCAAGCAATAGAGCTTTAAGCTGAGTGCGGGTGGGGTGAGGACACATGACTTGAAAGTTACCAGGTTCTTCTGCTCCACGACAAAAGTTGTACCAGCCGCACAAGGAAAGGTAACAGAAACCGTTGATAAAGGCAAAGCCGTTTGAGGATGGGAGTGGGCTTGGTGCTAGTGAGCTCTAAACCTGCTGCGCTCTAAGAGACCCCCCCCTCCCCAGGAGGCTTCTGGTCCTTCCTAGGTCATTTGCGTAGCACCCCGCCTCTCCCTCCTTTGTGTATTGCGGCTTTTCTCATGCACACTCTGCTTGTTATGTGCGAACTGGCTTCTTCTATATGTTGATTTTTTTCTTTCCTTTATAAACAAAACAAAACAAAACACTGCTGTGTGTGTGTGTGTGTGTGTGTGTGTGTGTGTGTGTGTGTGTGTGTGTGTGTGTAGCAGTTGGTTCTTTCCACCAACCGCATGAATTCTAGGGATTGAATCAAGTACTTTTACCCACTGAGAGATCTTGCTAGTCGCTGAAGTTAATGGTGATCCCAAGTCCCTATGCTCTGACCACTATGGCAAAGGGGTAACCGTGAACTAGCATTTTTGAGCTCCTGTCCCGCATGAGATTCTATGCCCTTCTCTCCAGTCTTTATAAACCCCCGGAGAGATGACAATCCCCGCTCCATTCATTCAGTCAGTGAAGAAACCCAGTCAGTGACATGCCTGTCACCCAGGACATCTGAGGGAGGTCCATCTGCCCATTGCCCAGTCTCTCCCTTTGTCACAAGCCCAGCTCCTGGTCTGCCACTGGCCCAAGCTGCTTGGTGAGAAATGGTCGTTGAACTTCCAGAAATCATCAGATTAGTTCATAAACATATCAGTGATTAAAATTCAAGCTATAAGGGACAGGGAGCTGGATGGCTCGGTGGGTAAGAGTGTTTGCTGCTGCTGCCGAGGACAGGAGCTGTGTTCTCATCCCCCGTGTTGAGAAACCCCAGTTCCAGTGGATCCGACACCCTCTTCCTGCCTCTGAGACCACATGTCCACACACATAAATCAAAATAAATCTTGAAAAAGTTATATACTTTAATAGTCAATAATATTTAATTTTCATTAATATTTTTATTAATTTTATTAATATTTAATAAAATTTTCCAGTGTTCTATTCTTGCCCTACTTGGGAGGCAAAGACAAGTAAATGTCTGTGAGTTCGAGGTCAACCTGGTCCAGGACAGCCAGGACTGTTCTTTCAGAAAACCAAAAAAAAAAAAGAAAGAAAGAAAGAAAGAAAAGAAGAAAGGAAGGAAGAAAGAAAGAACAAATGCTAAAGGACCAGGGTCAGGGCTGACCTCTGTGAAGGCTAGTCAGAGCTATTGCTCTAAGCTATTGTTTCCTTTCACAGACACCTGACTTTTGACCTTGAGACATTTTATAGACATTTTATATACGTAGCAGATCCTCAGGACTGGGCAGTGGGCAGGGCTGGGGCTGTAGTTCAGTCAATGATTGCTCCCTCGCTTAGCACACATAAGGGTCTGGGCTCGATCCCTAAACCCAAGATAAACAAAGAAAACCCATGGAGGAAGACTAATTTGCTGGTCTCCAGACTTTTTTTTTTCCCTCCAAAGTAAGCTATTTTTTGTCAAATGTCAGGTGGCAGCATATATGTGAAATGGTGGAGCTCAAAACTGGCCACGTCTTACTCTCTGAGGTGCTGAGGCTAGAACCCACCGCCTCACACCTGCCAGACAAGAGCTGTACACTCACCTCAAGCAAAATAAACAAAACCAACGAAGAGCAATTTCCCGGTACCCTGGACCAGTAAATAGTTAAGCACAATTGCTTTCCGGCTACTCTGACTTGCACAGTCTGTCACCTTTACTTCTAAGCACTGGTGTCCTCCAGCGTTCTGTCCCTGCCCACACCCTCCACTACTGTGCACACGCTTCCTGTCCAGTCCCTCTCGTGCCACACCCTCACCCACTGAATATATATGTACAGATATGTGCAGAGAGAGAAAGAGGGGTGGTTTCTCTCTGTATATATTCATATATATATATCCACATACTTATATAGAGGGGGTGGTTTCTCTTTGCATATATATTCATATATATGTAGAGAGAGAGAGGAGGTTTCTCTCTGTATAAACATAGAGAGAGAGAGAGAGAGAGAGAGAGAGAGAGAGAGAGAGAGAGAGGTGGTTTCTCTAAGAGGCCAGTAAACTGCACCTCATTTCCCTTTCAGGTGAGCTGAAAAATGGAAAAAGAGCTGTAAATGGACACAAAAACCTACGGAAGCCAGATTCCTCGGCTTTAGGAGCGGACGATTCAAAACTCAAGTCTACAACTGCATTTATAACCACACCAGGAAGAACACAATGCTTAGGACTGAACCTAATAAGCAGTGCTGACACAAAGACCTGAGTCTCAATGGCACTTAGTGCTGGCGGGGTGCAAGGCTTGATTTTGCTAAGCAGAGTAGCAAGTCCCACCGTTGTGGTCCACAGATAGAGAGCACGCAGGACGACCTTAACAACCTTTCCTTCAGCAATGGGAAAGCTGATCTTAAAAACCATAGAGACCTGTAGTGCATGCCACACATAATCTTCAATAATGTGTTGAGGTAACTCTCTGCAAGAATGAAGCTGAGCCCTGCTAGGGTCTGCGCTTGGTTTGCTGTCACTGCAGCTCAGACTGGAGTCTAATCCCCGCTGTGAGGCATTGTGAGGGTGGAAACTTAATCTCACTACATTGTAAAGAAATGGAGCATTTGGGGGTATGATTAGGATTAGATAAGACATTTAGGATGAGCCCTCCCACCCCCATGACTGAATCCTGGTGGCTTTGTAAGAAAGCCCAGAGGACAGACCTAGACATGTGGACTTCCTGCCATGTGTGGCCCTGAGCTGTGTCAGGACTCTGCCAGCAAGAAGGCTGTGGGGAGACTTGGCCTCTTCATCACGGGCCAGAACTGTGAACCAAAATAAACCCCTTTATACTTCACCTGGTCTGTGATATTGTGTCATTAGCAACAAAAAACAGGCTAAGGCAGGCACCAATCTCACACCATAGGCAAAAGCCAGTTCAGATAGTGGCCCAGGGGTTGTCTAGTATACCACTAGTCATTAGAGAAATGCAGACAAAACCCACAGTGAGATGCCACTATCTGGCCACTCAGAAGGCTGAATTCAGGGGAAGAATGTAAAGGAAAAGAACAAAGACCGGCAGGGAGGTGCAGAAACTGCAGCTCTATAGTGGAGCTGCTGCTTGGCAAAACAGATTGTCAGTTCCCTAGAAGCCAAACAGAATTTTCAGGTCACCCTGCAAAGTGCCCTCCAACAGAAATCAAAGTATGTGTTTCAGCTGGGCGGTGGTGGAGCGCACCTTTAATCCCAGCACTCTGCGAGGCACAGGCAGGCGGATCTCTGAGCTCTTGGCCAGCCTGCTCTAAAGAGTGAGCTCCAGGATAGCCAGAGCTACACAGAGAAACCCTGTCTCGAAAACCAACCAACCAACCAACAAACAAAAAAGTGTTTAGACAAAAACTTGTACAGGAATATTGATAGCAACAATATTTACAAGAGTGGAAGCAATATAGATTTCTATCAACCATTGACTTGATAAACAAAAACTGCATATTACTCAGAAATAAAAATAAATGAAGTTACTGACATATGCAGCAGTATTGATGGATGGGAGCCTCTAATAGGTGAGAGAATCTAGACGTATCTGCTGTACATTTAGTCTATTTCTGTGACTGTCCTGATAGGCAAGTCTACAGAGACAAAACACAGGTAAGCAGGCACCAGCAGCCATGGGTAGAGGATCTGGGAGCGAATGCTTAACGTGAGTCTTAGTTAGGGTTTGTATTGCTGCGAAGAGACACCGTGACCGCCTCACCTCTTATAAAGGAAAAGCATGTTGTTGGGTGGTTTACAGTTTCAGCAGTTTAGTCTATTGTCACCATGGCAGGACATGGTGGTGTGTAGGCAGATATGAGTTCTGTATCTTGATCTGAAGGCAACGGCAAGTGAACTGTGTGTCACCCACCCTGAGCGTAGCTTGAGCAAAAGAGACCTCAAAGCCCACCCCCACAGTCACACACTTCCTCCTATAAGGTCACAGATATTCTAACAAAGCCACATCTTCTAATAGTACCACTCCTTTAAGGGTCATTTTTTTCCCAAACCACCACAATGGATGTGGGTTTTTTGAGAAAAAAAAAATGGTGATGTTCTGGAAGTATATGGTGATGATCGTTATACACAAAAATAAATAAAAATGACTCAATGGTGTGCTTTCAACAAAACAAAGCAGTAATATTTATGTTGATTTCACTTCAATAAAAATAAAGTTTAAAGAATGATGTTTATCAGTTATGGAAGGGGTTGGAGGATAGTGATTGGTGTAACAGCAAAGTGAACCCCAAGGTTAGGCAAAGGCACTTCACCTTGTCACAGAAAACACAGGCCCTGGGGAGACCTGGGAGGCAGAACAGAGTACAGGCAACCCGTTGTGAGGCTTCCTCTCAAGGGAACAGGGACATGATCAACCAAGGATGCCCAGTGACAGGTTAATCTTCGTTGTCAATTTGACTACATTTATAGCCACATGGACGTGGACTCCTAGGTGTGTCAATAATGGTATTTCCAGAAAGGATTAACTGAAGAGGGAAGACCTGCCCTAAGTGTGGACAATGTTACTATCAATAGGCCATGGTCCTGGGCCAAATACAAAGGAAAAGGCGAGCCAAGGACTAGCATTTGTCTCTCTCTGCTTCTTGACTGTGGACACGATGTGACCAGCTGCCTCACGCTCTTGACACCACACCTTCAAGATCATGATGGACGGTGACCCAAAATAAGTCCTTTCCTTAAGTGGTTTTGCTGGGACATTTTTGTCACTGTGATGGGAAAGGTAACCAATGTGTTTGGGTATCCCCAGGTTCACCAATCAGACATGAACCATTGGGAGTGAAAGGGAAAAGTAGCAGAGAGAGGCTTCAGGTCATAATTGTTAAGCTCCTTTCTTGGCCCATGAAACCAGTTCTTGCAGAAAGGATAGCATTGTCCCTCACCCACTGGAAGATCAGAAGTAGGTACATGAGCCAGAACAAACGCCTGGTCACACAGCACTTACTTAGTGGAATCCCATTAGTTTGTGTATGATATATACACTATTTTTGAATTTTCAAAACAGTTTATGTTATATAGGTATTTTCTGCATGTATAAATGTGCACCATGTGTATTTTAGGTACCTAAGGAGGCCAAAAGGGCACCAGCTCCTCTGTAATTGAAGTTACTGATGGTTATGACCTACGACATGGGTATTGGGAATCGAACCCAGGTCCTCTGGAAGAGCAGCCAATGCTCTTAATCATCGAACCATCTCGCCAACTTCTGGGTTTGTTATTTCTTAATAAAAACAATTTAAGAAGCAGGGCCAGTGAGATTTCTTAGTAATCAAGGTGTCTGCCACCAAGTCTTGACTTGGGTTTGATCCATATGATGGAAAGAGTTGTTCTCTAACATTCGTATGTGTAGATAGACAGATACAGACATACAAACACACACAAAAGAAATACATTTTTAAAGTTTAAAAATCATTCATATAAAATACTGTTGGATTTTATATGTAAGTATTAGCAAGCAATAAGTATTCTACTGTTATAGAAGTCACGGTGAACCAGGGATGATTGCTAGTGAATGGTTACCTGAAGATTTTTAACATTATTTCTAAACATATGGGGGAAAGGAACAAGAAAAGCAATGTTTCTAAGAGAGGCCTTGACCAAACCTCCCAATCCTTTGGATAGTTCTACTGAAAGGCTGGGAAATTATGCTAAATAGGTTATTTTTGTCCTTTTATTCTCAGAAATTTTCCCTCTGTTGTAAAAGCTGGATTATGTTTAGAATCAGGTTTCATCTCTAAAATGTCTCTCTGTGAGTGTATGTGTGTGAGAGTGTGTGTGTGTGTACTGAGTCAGTGTAGCACTTAATATACATTTGAGGAAGTGTCAAACAGTCAGATTTGAATTGGGGTAGAGACGAGATTGGTGAGGTGGGAATGAGAGCTTTGTTCCATGGTACACTCAAGACTTTGGAACAAAAGTTCCAGAAAGGAGAGGAAAAATCCCAGCCAAAGCAAACTGGCATGACCTTGTGTTATAATCCCCGAGCTCAACACATCTTGACCCCTGCACCTTTAGTCCAGTCCTTTCAGGAACAATTAGGCTTCAGAGACATGTCCTTCCTGCCTCAGAATGACTAAGGCCTATTTAAGCCTCATGGTTGGTTAATCAGTAATGGAGATTTTTTGACAAATAAAGCAGGGCAAGCCAAGAAATAAGGGTGGCTAAAAATTAGCCCAGGAAGGTTGTATTTCTTGCAAATACAGGATCTGGTACTGCTTTCTTTCAAATATGGGTGTTTGTGTGTGCTGGAGGACTCATGGAACAGGCCTAGTGGGGAAGTCTGCGCGTCTTGCGATTTGTCTCGGGACTCTCCTCTTTCTGTCATGTTGAGGGACAGAGGCCTTCGTCGCCTCTGCAAAGGCCTGCATTCCTGTGCCATGGTTGGGGTGGGGGGGCATGTGTGTCTAAGTGTGGTGGGGATGGTCCTGGCAGATGCAAGCAGCTGCTGTAGACCCCAGAGAGGAGAGGATAGCAGATCCTAGAGGCTGGGTTCTGGACCAGGTAGAGGATTCTCCCAGCCTTGGCCATGCTTGAAAACTATAGAGCAAGGCTGGGGTTGGCTGATGTTCTCCCGGGGCCGGGAAGCATCAAACAGGGAGCAGTGAAAAGACAAACCTGCAGGCCGATTAACATGAGTAAATCCTGTTTGCTTGTAGTTTTGGTGGGAGGGGTGCACAGAGTGAGATGGGGATTTCACTACATTCCAGGCTGACTTCGAACTCACTGCTGACTGACTTTGGACTTTTAGCTATCCCTCTGCCTCATCCTCCTGAGTATTGGGATTACAGACATGCACCACCATGACTGGCCCAAGGACCACCTGTTTTGGTTTTGTTGTTTTGCTTTCTAAATCCTGAAGCAGAAGGAATGTCAGTGGACCCCAGCCTCCTTGTGACAGCTGCCAGATCACGTCCTCCTGCAGTGGCTCCAGGACAAGTCTGCCCAATGGTTAGGGAAGGGGTGGACCTCACTATCTCTTCCTCCTCAGAAGCAATGCCCCTGAAGCTCTCAAGAACAATGCACGAGGTGCTTCCTCAACCCCTGCTCATCCTGTATATGCCAGCACACTTCGCCTCCTGTCCAAGCCTGGGGGTGCAGGTGCCCCTGCCTCAGAACACCGTCACCTGAAGTGCTGGGAGGAGGCAGAGGGTCAGTTTTGTTGGCTCCTGTCTTTCCTTCTGCACTAACAGTGTTGGCACTCAATACTTACTGCATAAATGATGAATAAAAGAATTCAAAGGTTTGGGCTGGGGAATGCAACTCAGCAATAGAGTATTTTCCCAGCATGTGTGAAGCCCCAGCCAAAAAAAAGGAAAAAGAAAGGAAAATCCCCAAAACACAACTCAGGCTTCAAATGGAAAGGTTTAAGGTGTTGCGTGCAGAGGAATCCATGTTCATCCTAGGGCTCAGACCTGTAAGGGAGTCTGTAACTCTAGCTACAGGGGAGGCCGAGGCAAGGGGGCTGAGAATGCAAGACCTGTCTGGACTACTGAACAAGTTCAAGGCCAGCCTGTGCAGACCAGTGTTGGGGCTGTAATTGAGTGGTGGAGCCCTTGCTTAGTGTGTGAGGCCCTAGGTTCAATGTTCAGGGCTGGGGGTGGGGTATGAGTATGGGGTAGGGGTAGATGGGGGTCACGGATGGACGTAGTCACATGAAAACACGCTTACAACCTATCAGGCTTTTAAGATTTGTGAACTCATTATAACCTTATGAGGTCAGGTGACCATTTTTCCCCCCCAAGATCAAGTGACTGGAAGATTTTGTTTTCTTCAAGGTCATATGACTGGGAAGAAGCAAAGCTGGGAGTT